ATAACACTGAGATATTATTAAATGATCTGCAATTAGTGAAAAATAACTGATATTATTAAATGATCTGCAATTAGTGAAAAATAACACTGGGATATTATTAAATGATCTGCAATTAGTGAAAAATAACTGATATTATTAAATGATCTGCAATTAGTGAAAAATAACACTGAGATATTATTAAATGATCTGCAATTAGTGAAAAATAACACTGAGATATAATTAAATGATCTGCAATTAGTGAAAAATAACACTGAGAATAAATTTTCAAACAAATATTGATTTATTTATTTTTTGTCTAATGAAATATGTACAAAAGATTATTTTTTTTACACAACCATTAATATACACAATTACTTTTTAATTTCAAAACACACAGTTTCACAATGACGTGGAAGCCCTGTAGATGGAGCAGCTGGATCCAAGGGATATTCCCTTGTTTGTTGGTAAGCACAAAGCTACACAATGAGTTATCTGTGCTATTCCCACCAAAAGAATCTAGGCCTAGTTTTTAGCATTATAAGCCTCCCCGAGTTTTACCACTGAGCCGCTAGAGGGCCCTTTACGTGGGATGTGTATATTTCACCTTTTTTGTTGTTTATTTTGATATGGCACTTTATTCCCAATTAAAATTAGAAGAAAACCACAAATTTCAAACACTAACAATAAAAAAATACAATCGCATAATGATAAGGTTTATAATCGGTCAACAACAAAATATTCAAAACTACGATATACTCTTTTAAAACATATAACGTCCATGTACATTCTTCCAAAAAACTCCACTAGTGTCGAACAAAATTTTAGAAACAGTTAACTTTTACAAAACCAGACAGAATCTGGTCAACTACACTTCACAGTTCTTATACCTGTAGCAAAGGTAAGACGATTTGAATAAAAATAAGTTTACCCTGTTTCGAGCTACAACTTAAACTGGATGTTTTCTGTTAAGTAGGCTTACAATACAAATTTCAATTTGTTTACGTATAAGTTTAAATCAGACATAATTTCACTTCTTGCAGTGTATAAAACACTGAAAAAAGGACATAAAACAAAAACATATACTGTAAGGAGATGAGGGGGTGGGTAGGAAACAATCTCATTAAAGCTACAACTCCTTGATCATTTTACTGGCTGCTTCATTTTTTCTCACTCATTATCAAAAACATTTTAAGTTAAGTTTACATGTGATTTTTTTAAATGTACAAAAAAGTTTGTTATATGAAGTGGATTTTCTGAAAAATATTTATAAACATTAAAAAAAATCTGAAATTTTAAGATGGTTACATATTCATAATGGTTCAAAACAGAAATTTTAAGATGGTTACATATTCATAACGATTTAAAACAGAAATTTTAAGATGGTTACACATTCATAACAGTTTAAAACAGAAATTTTAAGATGGTTACACATTCATAACGGTTTAAAACAGAAATTTTAAGATGGTTATACATTCATAACAGTTTAAAACAGAAATTTTAAGATGGTTAAACATTCATAACAGTTTAAAACAGAAATTTTAAGATGGTTACACATTCATAACAGTTTAAAACAGAAATTTTAAGATGGTTACATATTCATAACAGTTTAAAACAGAAATGTTAAGATGGTTACATATTCATAACGGTTTAAAACAGAAATTTTAAGATGGTTACATATTCATAACAGTTTAAAACAGAAATTTTAAGATGGTTACATATTCATAACAGTTTAAAACAGAAATTTTAAGATGGTT